CGATTTTCTCACATCGGGGCACAAAATATGTGCTGAATATTCTTTTGTAACTTTCTTTGAGACTCTAGGTCTCTGTCATCGCTAATCACTGAATCATCTTAGACCTCGCATCGAAATATGATCTCAACGTAGCTTTGGCCCATCTGGATCGCCATAAGTCTCGGTCAGAAGTCTATATTATTGGGCACATGCACTTCTTTCCAAGTAGCCCTCTGATTAGGCATAAATTTACTTCGAGTAGGAATAAGAAGAGCTTTCAAGGTGAGCAAGAAGCTGCTGTACCTTTAATGCAGAAAACAAAATTTGTTCGATTTGGTTTGCAATTATATTTTCAAAGGTCTTGAGCTAAACTCGGAAGGCAGAAATGCCACTGAGCTGCGATCTTCAGAATGTACTCAAGGAGAGAGATTATCGCAGTTATTGGCTAGCGTCTCCAGAGATGGAGAATAGGAGTGAATGCATGTTGCGGTTTTATGGGTTCAAATCCGTCGGATCGGCTAACGGCTACGGTCTATACGTTAAACCTCAGTGGAGATTCACCATGATTAGATCTCTTAAGCCCTGGTGTTTCATCGGATGTTTGATCCTTGTCATGCATGGTGTGGCGGAGCGGTTTTCTGAGTGGATTGCCGACTGTGGAAACCCTGTCAAATACAATGGTTTCTGGCAACCAAATTTATTCACCTATGAGTTTAAGCGACCGAGGCTTTTCGTAAGGGTTTAAAAATCTCTTACATCTCGAGCTAGAAGCTTTCATTGAACGGTTGATTTTTTCTTCAAGGGTGTCTGCAAGGAATCGCATGGCAAAAAATTCTGAGCTGGTACAGATAATATCGGAATATAAATACGTCGTTTGTCTCCTTCGTCAGGGATGAGTCTATTTATAAGGGTACCTGCAGAGCACTGCTAACATTATTTTTACGGCATGACGCCGAGGAAGCTGCCACATCGTTTCCGCATTTTGAGGTCTCATGGCGTGATTGAACCTTTCTTCGGCAAATGCATATCACATAACTGCCTCTAACATGACCAAGGAAACAGTGTGACGTCATTAACAAATTTTCCTTGCAGAATGGAAACGGATTCGTTGATAAGGGTAAATTCTCTCTCTTAACCATTCATAAGAACGTCGAGTTTTGAGTTCTGCTTTTCAACTAAGTTAGAAAGGCTTTCGCAGCGATCTTCAGCCATCGATCAACGCTTTTGCAAAGATTCAATTTACACGCGATGAGCGACTTCTTACATCTGGAGTCACTCAATCATGTTACGTTCAGCCCCACATCCGCTATCAAACTCTGTGGAAAGCATTGTTGGGTGGTTGGGATTTATTGATCACGAGATTCGATTGAAATGTCATTGTGGAAAGAAATAGTAAAATCATCAACGCTTTTACATAGTTAGACTGCGCGGTTCCCATCGGGTTCGTTTTCGTGGGAACCTCGTCGGGCCCTAGGGTTTGATGTCCCCGACGTGGTCTGTAACCACGAGAATCGCGTATAGTGTTTCTTAAGACAACACTTCGACGATTAGATCTTGGTTGTGCTCGCTCTGATCAGAAGTCCTGCCAGCACCGACTCGGCGAAGCAGACACTCCATCTTATTCTCGGTCTCAACGTGAACAAATCTAAGCCAATAGTTCAGCTTAGCTGCGCTGCGGTAAGTCGGATTATCACGATTGTCGATCCGAGGTCAACAAAAGAAACGTCACATTAAGAACCTCTTGTTTCTATTGCAAACAGAAATTGAGGAATCGTCCAAGCGTTCTAGAACCTCCCATTTTTGTACAGACGAAGACCGCTCTTCGATGCTGGCTTGTTCACTTGATCGCTTCATGTTTAATCAAGAATAAACTGCTACAGAAGGGCTGCAAAAATAGCATGGTGGGAATATTCAAGAGATCATCAGGCGGTGTTTGCTGAACAATTAAGAAATTGCGAATAGCTTCTACCCTTGTAAATGCAAACACGATCAGCTTTTTCTTGTGGTTTGCGAAGCAAGTGAATATTCAATGGATTTGCGTTGATGCAACACGATGATAAGGGCCGTGAATGAGTTGTCTCGTGTCAGTAGCGACAACTCTGGCCCGTGGAACGGAACTATTTAGTGCGTGACAGAGAGCTTATAGCAATGAAGTATGCTTTGCTGAAGTTCCGTGTGTACATGCTTGAGGAGGAGTGCTTTACAATCTATACAGATTTTGCCTCGCTGCTTACGGCATTAACAAATTCTAATTATCGCAGAGAATTGCTCAATGGTTCTTTTTTGTGGAGGACAACTTTGTAGAACACTAAAAGCTAGGCAAGACGAACATCTTAGCCGATGCGTTGTCAAGACGTTCAGACTACGATACAATTCTAGAAGCGGAAACATGCTTGAGTCATGTCGACAATGCAAAAATGTTCAGACGATCAGAATGCAAGCAACAACTACAGCGCACGGAGAAATTATCAGAAGGTACAAGTCCGATGAGACATGTCAGGACTTGTTAAGGTACTTAAATGAATGTTTTGAAAAAGCTTTGCAAGGTCTTCTATCTTGCACAAGATCGCGATTTCACCGTTTTGGAGTACTCAGAAAAATGCTGTACTATGCCGTTGAACACGAGGATGCAGCAAGAGTAGTTGTTTCAAATGACGAAGGTTTGCTTCTTCACCTCTAATAAAAGTACCATGATAGCCTTTCGGGTGGCAATCTCGGACGCGAGCCAACGTTTCTCAGTCTTTTCCGGGATTGCTATTGGCCACACATGTAGAAGTGGATGTGCAAGTATGTGAGGACTTGTGGATTTGTTAAAGGGTAAAATTATTAGGTTCCACACAGACCCCACTTCGGTCGTTGGTATTACGAACTGACAGCTGGATGTCTGTCAGATGGACTCATAATCGGACCTCCATGTGACACACATAGACGCAGTGGCATCCTTGTGTTAGTAGATCGATTCAGTAAGATGGCCCATCTTGCGCATGTTACGGATAAAATATCTCCTGCAAAAACAGCTCAAGCCTTTGAAGACGTTGTTTTCCGTCTGCATGGGCTTCCTGACGAGATCGTGTCGGACCGTGACGCCTGTTCACGTCAAACTTTTGGCGTGTACTGTTTGGATTATTGGGTACAAAGTACAAATTGCCCATGTTAACAAGCGGCACGGTCACTGAGTGGGTTAACGCATGTTTGACCTTGAGTAAGTAACCCAACTTGATTTTCAAAGAGGTTCAATGGGTTCTAGCTGTCTTACTTAGGGCAATTATTGCAAGCAAATTACGCAACTACATCAAAGTCTCCTCTAATAGGTGATAAAAGTGAGACAAAGTGTTGAGGTTGGATAAGGCTAAACCTCGAGCAAACTACGAGGGGCCATTAGTGTTGAAACGATTGCTTGAAAAAAAACGTAGCCGTTATTCGGGCAAATAATAAATTAGTAGTAAGATAGTAGACTGTTTGAGATGAAAACTAGTAAATGAGTTAAAAGCTTCGACGTATTCAAGTGCACAGTACTTGCAATTAGGTGGTAGCGAGAGCTGGCACTCGTGGCATGGCGGCGAAATTGAGCATCTTAGCCTCTACAAAATACAGACTGAAAATTTTAATGCCAGGGTGCAATAATTGGAACACACGATCATTCAGTTGAACTTCTTTAGCTTGAATAATCTTGCTGTGGCGCAGAAAATCACAGAACGTGTGCTTTCGCTTTGTACCAATACGGATGAAAGCCACGGAAAATTCAATATAGTCGATGGTCACGACAGATTAAATAAATCAGTCTGAAAAGTAATTACGTCATCCCAAATGGGGAGTAAGGAAAACGACATCTGAAAATCTTAAAACTCAAGGGACCTGGTTACAATTGTTGTGAATAATCTACTGTTTTGTGAGGTCAGTTAAGTCTGATGTGCCGGAATAAAGCATTGCACATGAGTTGTATACAGTGGCGAGGCTGACGGTAGCAAGTAATTGAATATATGTCTCGATTCCTAAAAGACTGTGATATGCCGAAAGTTTCTCCATTGTTGAAGCTCCTGAGTACACATCGTCAAGTGTGAGGACAGTAAGTAAAGCGCTGAGTATTGACGTAAGTGGTCGCCTGTCAAACAGATTTTTAATCAGTACATCTCGTCATCGGAGGTAAGTGTGCAAAATTTCTATCGTAAATGCTTTAGATATGTCCGATGACCCTCTTTCAATGAAAATATAGGTGAAGCAAACAAAGTGAGTAGTAATATAAGTTTTTACCGTTATTGTGTCGTGCTATATGTTTAGAACTGTCTGTACAGGCTAAGATCACTCAGTAGAGTCGAATTTATCAATACTACGAGCGTCGTTCTGGCGCTAGGTACTAAGACACCGTGCAGTATTTTTTTGACAAAATCACGATCATGTTTGAAGACCGTTATCAAATTAGATCTGGACGGTTGAGTTCACTTGATAAATCCCTCAAACACTCACAGGAGGTTAGACCGCTGAGCATTCAAGCTGGAAAAGCTCAAAGGAGATACGCTTCGAGATCTTAACCATTCATAGCTGTGACTTCGTCAGGAAGCCCAGCGAGGCTCATACTGTATCGTGACCCGTATTTAAAAAAATAGAAAGTTGTACTTGCGTCCTAAATGCAGTTTATGTGTCGTGTGTAAGGATCGTTCGCACTTATGAGGTGTTGGACGGTGTTTGCCAGTTTAAAAGTAAGATTATTTGCGAGACTGGAACCTGCGATATATGTAACTGATCCTATTTCACCCTACTGTTCATTGTATGCATGTCGTTCCTCCTATGATGTCGCCTATTGCTCTAACTGCTATGAATATATGTATCATCTCTCTTTGAACATGGGTACACTCAGTATACGTCAACATGAGGCCTACACTCACTTATATTCTAGAACGAATTCCAGAATCATAGAACATGTGAATGTGGCTTCCTACATCCTCCCCTATTCGACATCTTGTTGGCGTTGTTGACAGACAAGACCATTCAAAGTGAGCTACGTGTCGACAATCTTACTCTTTTTCCCAGTTAGCTTCTTCTTCCATTTGATAATGGGTGGCGATTATATTGTCATTTCTTCAAAAAGACGATGTATGATTTGAAGCTGATCCGGTGAGTCGTTGTTAACAAACTTGGACGCTTTGGGGATAGGACGACTAAGGAATTTATTTAATGTTGGTTCATATTTTTGCAACACATCAACATTGAATGTTGAATTAATATTCTTCATGCTTAATGCCAACTTGAGTTTTGTCACATTGAGATTTATCTTCTTGATGATTTCGATAGTA